CTGCAGTCACCCCCCAAAAAAAACTGCAGCACACAGCTCAGCCCCAGCTATTGGCTGGGGAGGACGAGTTATTGCAGGGCTCCTCCACAGCTTGGCTTGTCTCACACCAGATGAGGCTGAATGGCTCCCTTCTGGCTTAAAATAAAGAGCATCTTTGAAAGCACAGCTGTAATCTCGTTAATAATGGGACTCTGTCTCCGGATGCGTCTTCCCCTCCTGCCAAGCGACAACTGTCAGAGCTCGCTTTGCTTGCAGCCACAGGAGGATGGGGCTGGGATGCTCAGGGCACTCAGCACCAATCTCCCAGCTCAGGCTACAGATGCATTTACCATGCAAAAGCTTCCTCCTACCACTGGGGCCAATACAGACGGGCTACAGGAGATGGGACTCCCACCTCTGTGGCACCTCTGCTCTGCCTGTCCCACACCAAGCTGCAAGCGACACTATTCCAGCCTCAACATTTCACTCCCTCCTACCTCCTATTGATTCCCTTTTTTTTTTTTTTCCCCCCCTCTTTTTTAATCACTGACTTTGCAGCCAGGAGGGGAAGGAAGAGAAGTGTCGCAGTAAAAGCGACCAGGCGTGAAGCTTTAATGGCGCTGGGTCAGGGTGACCTCCCTGCCAAGGCTGCCTGGCGAGGAGGGGAAATGCAGGCAAAGCAGCATGGGGATGCAAACAGGCACAAAGAAGTGTGGTGTCACAAAGTGACACTGCTGCCACCCTGAAGGGGATGCAGCTGCAGCAGGCGGTCACACTAATTGCCTTCCCAGCTCCTTCCCTCCCCTTGCCCACCATGGTCAGTGATGTGTAGGATTAGGACATACTTGTGCATTATGTTAGCCTGTGAGAGTCATACATTCGGTAGAAAACGTTGGTTTGCTTGTGGGAGATATCCTTAAACCACCCACACAGCAGACCTTGCACAGACTGCTGCTCACGGCCACCTAACATCCCGGCATGGCATGAAGATCTCCCCTTGATGTTCTAAAGAAAGCTGTTTCCAGCCTTTGCAAATGCTTACAAACATGTCTCTAATGCTTCCAAAACAGAAGATGAAGGAGAAAACCCCACCGCATTATTAGCTTTAAACATCTCATGACCTTTTTCTGCAAATCTGAAGATGCACGGTTCGTTAACATTTCGCGTTGTCAGCACGGCCAATGCGTTCAATTAGACTTCACAACGGCATCTGCAAATTGCTGGCAACTCACCAGAGGAAATCCTCCCTTCTTCCCTTGGCTGCCAGTGCTACAACTACCTCTGAGCACTGCCACATTCCTGCGCCTGTGCACCAACCCCGCCAGTGCTCAGCGCATGCCATCCCTGCTAGAAACAATGATGGAGAGATTCTGATCCAGGTGATACTCCTGAGCAGGAGCAGATCTGGTGCATGAGCTGCGCTGGGCTCCCTGAAGTCACCTGGGACATCCCCGGCTGTGTGGGGGAGCATGTGCATGGCCAAGGACCTGCATGCCATCGCATCCACGAGTGTGCACACAGCTGCGCTCGTGGGCAGCCTGCAGGCATGCACAGAGATAGCTGCTGTTGCGAGTTAACTGAAGGAGCCTGTAAAACCAGAAACAGGCTATTAGCAATCCATTAGGAAAGGGTATCCAGTTCCAGCCTAGGTAATCCATTAGAGGAACATCTGAGAGCATTAGGAGAGCTCGCTTGGGGCCAGGATGGGGCTATAAAACAGAAGAGGAAACCATGCTAATCTGGCTTGAATTACAAACTTAAAAGCAGGAGAAAAATAAAGGATACCCTGAACATTTAATGTTTTATATTTAGGAGACAGAACATGAGATTCTGCCAAAAGGAGAGAATGGAAAAATCTGTTTAGGCTACAAATATCTCATCTCTCTTCATGCAGGAAAGAAACTGCCAGCCCCTCTTCCAGAAGGGAAGAGCATGACGTTGAAGCTGCTCAGCTTTCTGGGCGAGCTCGGTGTTGGTGGGACAGAGTGATCACCCGACGTGATACAGTGTGGTTGTGTGTCCTGCACAACCAGCAAATGCCTGTGCCTGGGTTCAACAGAGCTGCTGTGAGGTGGCACAACAGCCCTGCTGCAAGCAGCATCCCGCACACGTGGACACTCATCGTCTCTCTGTGCTAATAAATCCCAGAGCATGCAGTAATAACTCCCAGAGCAAACTCCAACACAAGAGCTGCTAAGTGGCCTGAGTGGAAATTCATTGCCGAGCCCAGAGAAAGGGGGGGGCAAACGGTGTGCTGAGGCTGAAACGCACCTTTGTGAGCACTCTGCCATGTCACGGAGGGGAAGAGGGTCCCCCACTGTGTCCCTTGCTCTGCACCTCCCAGGCTGGCTGTCCCTGGGGAAGATGCTGTGCAATGATAGCTGGCTCACCCAGCAGCACTCTCGATAAGATCCACTGCTCCCGCCACGGACGGCTTCATCTTCTGGTGCCAAGGCCTGGCATTATTAAAATCCTGAAAGGAAGAGCCTGGGAGAAAGCAGACGCTGATTGAATCAGGCCCTACAGTATTCGACAGCTCGACATCCATCTGATCCTATTAGTGCTCATTCAGTCCTGTCTGCTGAGGTGCTGTGCATAAATCAGACCCTGTGCAGATAATGGGAGGCGGAGGGGGAAAGGAACTGCAGCTTTTGCCAAGAAATGCCACGTGCAATGCGAGCATGGAGGGCTGTATCTCTAGCCAGCCTTTGGAGCTGTCCTCTAGCCCTGCTCTTACAGCAATGGACATTCCACACAGCGCTCAGGAAAACCTTCACTTCAGCACAGATTAACACCTCGCTGTGCAAACACAGGTCATGCTGCATCCTATCTCAGGACACCAGTTCCTGTAAGGAGAGACCTACCATCAATTTAGGTCATGCTGAGCTGGTCTTGGCTCCACCAAGCCATGACCTTCCCTCTCCTGGATGGACTTTGGGTGCTCCTTGGGCACTCTCAAGATGCCAACAAGCAATGGGTCTAGAAAAGCAGAGCTTATAGAATCAGAGAATCATTAAGGTCGAAAAGATCACTTAGATCATCTAGTCCAACCATCAATCCATCACTGCCATGCCCACTAATCATGTCCCTCAGTACCACATCTTGTTTCTTCAACACCTCCACTGATGCTAAACTTCTAGGGCTCACAGCATCTGGCAACTCACTTTTGGGTGCAGACACCTAAATTTGCAAGGTATCCAGATAGGCTAAGGGAGGCTGTGGCTGAGCACACCCAGGGGTCCCAGGGCTCTGGTGCTGCAGCACAGCCATTCCTGGTTCTTGGGAGCTGACTGAATGAGGTTTTGCATATAGTTCATCTGATGAATAGTGGCAGTTTTCCTCAAATCACCCATAAATCAGATTTCTCATTATGCAACCAGTGGGGTAGGGATTCAGTAAGCAAGGCTGGTACCTTCCTCACTGAATGTCTGCACTTGCTTACCAAGCAAATTATTCCCCAAACACACTTCTCTATCAGCCAGTGACTGAGAAACGCGTCCTTCAAGAGGCCATGGATGAAGAGTGACACCACTGTGCCCTCCTGGGATGGTGAGCTTTCCAGCTTTCCAGCTCTGAAGCACCCATACTGAGGACTGCTCCCACTCTGCAGCTTGGGAAGATAACTTTTCACTGCCCTGAAGTGGGCTTTTGCAGCCAGGGTGCCTCACCCCAGTGTCACCAACACCTTCATGTATTTCCCACCATGGCTGTGTGCTGTTCTGTCCCCTCATGGGCTTAGCCCCAGCCCAATGTGTCGAGGCAGAAGGCAGCCCATTGGCATGTGTATCATGAGGACCAGGCTGCAGCTGGGGAAAACATCAGCCTTTTTCACAATGGTTTCGTATGTTGAAATAAGTGACTTTGCATTTCATATTTCCCATGCACTTTCCACCTTTTCCCACAATTTGAATTCTTTCCTCCTCAAAATGAATAAACTCTTCCAACCATGTGAATACCCAAACTCTCCTATCGCTCTCTTACCCCAGCAGAGTGCTTGGCAGCTGCTCTCTCCCTCCCTCTGAGAAGAGAAGGGCAGGGAGAGACAAGTGGGAGAAGACTCTACCAGCACCTGTCTGGTTTTCAAAGCCATCAGCAAAACGCTTCAGTCTGAAACAAGACCTGCGCCACTGCCTTATCAAAGAAAAGCAACTGAAAGAGAAAAACCCACTGGGATGATGATGTCTTACAGCGACACAAGCACAGCACAAAGCCTCTCATCCCCTTTTTGAGACGTTTTTCTCCCTAAGAAGAGCTGTCTGGCAGAAAATCCCTCTCGGCTCCGCATCGCAGGTGAGCTCCTTGGGGATGGAACGCTGGCTCCCATTTGTCTCTTTTCTGGGCAAAATGCCTCATCAAGCAAACTGCTGCCATGCTTGCCTAATTGGCTTTCCTCTGGCCCATCTCAGAGATGTTGGGATGAGCCACACCAGTGCAGCAGCACCTCTCATCCAGCAGCAGACTGCTTTCTTTCGTAAGTGGAGCATGCAAGCAGCATATAGCAAAGAAGAAAAAAAAAATAAAATCCTGTTCGTTATCTTTCTGCCGCTAACAAATGAAATCTGTCCTGCGGGCTGCCAAGGATTTCACTGACAATTTTTTTTTTTAAAGAAACAAGAAATAAAAGTAAGAAATACGATAAGATCATGGCAATCGCTCCGTTGCTGACTGTGCCCTGAGTTACTGCGAACGGTATTTTATCTTCGGCTCAAAATCTAAATGTGGCAGAGGCACATTTAAATGCAGTGACATTTATACTTTAAATGCCTTTTACATCTTGTTGGCAGGTTTTATACAGAACATATGTATGGAAAACAGATACAGGCCACGGATTAAAATGCAGAGAGAGGAGAGCCTGCAGAGCCATTTGTAGGCAGAATATGACTTAAAAGTAAGAGGAAGAAAAGGGAGGGGGAAAAAAAAAGAGGAAAAGGGGCTGTGTTGACAGGGAAGTGAACAGACATTTCTCGGTCCCTGGCCACCCCATGTTGCCTGTGTGCTGCCTCCTGCTCAGCATCACTTACGTGCTGCCACTGGTCCAGGATGAGGGGCCGATAGCGCAAGAAGAACTTGAGTGGGAAGGACTCGGGGTCGGGCCAGGATGAGGGGTTCTGCCATGACACTTCCAGTCGCCGGGGGTTATTGGGTACAGGCTTGGCCACCACACTCTCTGGAGGATCCGGCTTTACTGGAAGGGAAAAGAACAGCTGTTAAAGTCCCACTAATTGGATGCAACAGGTCTTACAGTGGGGAGGTGGGTGAAAAGCCTGCCTAGTGATGTGCTCTGGGGATGAGTAAGTCCAGGCGATGGCTAATCAGCCATAGAAAATCACCTTTTAGTGCGTATGGGTCAGGAATATCCTGGCTCAGAATAACCAGCACTAAGGAGATGACAGCACCTGGACAGAACAGAGAACATCCCTCCTCCCCACAGGTACCTGGTTGAGTGCAGGGAGCTTGCTGAGCCCTAACCCCGTGCTTTCCTTGCTCCTCCAGATGGCTGGGAGTCTGACCTGCCATCAAACCTACTCACCTCTCAGCAGGTCGCAGTTTAGGGCTGCGGATTCCAGGCTCTGACCCATTGCATGCAGCATAGGCAGACCCTGTGGTTTCTCACTCCTGCTCTGCTTTTGAGATACAAGGATATTTTTTCACAATCCGACAAGTATTTCAAGTGAATATTAATTGACTGTGCAACGTGCTCGGAAGTTACTGCTACTTTAAAGTGCTGGCACCAAAACCCAGACAGGCTGTGATAAACAGTGTTGCCTCTTGCAGAGTCAGCTTTGCTCCTCACCAAAATTCTGCCCAGATCCAAACAGCTCAGACTCTCAATTTGCAGCAGCAAAGCTCTGAGAAGTCTAGAATCTGGGTTGTGCAGGGGCCTGGCAGCCTGATTAAAGCACATTCCCTCTGAGGAGCTGTGCGTGGAGACATCCTCAAGCTCTGCAGCAGACTTGGGAGCTGGGAAGGTGAAGGATTTCCATGGGACAGCTCACAAGGCTCACTGTGTTCAGTAAGAATAGTGGTTATCACCTAATCACAGAATCACAGAAAGGTGCTTCAGCCTGGAAACCACCAGATAAAGCAGTGCTCCCGCTCTGACCAGGCACCATTTCTAATTCCAAGCATGCAGGGGGGATTCTGGGGTTGGGAGCAGCCTGACAGAGCTCCTGCAATGCACTCAGAGCCATCTCCTCCCTGCTGGCCCCATGGAGATGACATCTCCACAAGGGCTTTGCTTCTCTGGTCAGTGAAGGTGGCAAGTGAGCTGCAGGCTTGAAGCTGTATGGGACTGGGTGCTCCTGTGGGATGGCACTGCTGCAAAGAGAGCCATGTGCATGCCACTCACTGCCACTTTGCAAGGGGCGGGTTGGAGCTGGGCAGTGCAGGCAATCTGTGCACGAGGTATTTGGGGTCATCACATTTGAGGACAGTAACTGCGTGAGGCAGGCAGGAGCTGCAGTGGGAGGGATGATTTGCTGGGACTGCATTGCTGAGCTACTCCAGATGGCTGTGTAATTCCCTTGCTTGCTTTGAATCCCTGGACTTAGGCTGGACATCAGCTTCCATCCATGGGGCCTTGGAGGCCAAACACATACGGAAAAGTATAAATCCAGTGCTGGCTCACTGGGCTGGGTTTGCAAAACAAAAATCTGTTTGGCTGAATGCATGCAGATGAAAGCAAACTGTGGCTCCACAGCACAGGGATAAAAGCACCAGAGTGGGGATGGACACAATGGGATGTCACAGCTGTGAGGAGAGCCCTGGCGTAACGCAGCGAATGGGAAATGCCACTGTGGCAGGTTGGAGGAGAGCAAGGAAGGTGCCCTGATGCTGAGAGAGGAAGTCATCTCTTCACTCCTCAGGACGTGACCCCCTCACGTTAGAGGAGAGCTATGCTGGCTTCCCGCGAGCGTGGCAGAGCTCCCGGCTGCAGTGAGCCTTCAAACGTCACTGCGTCTTAATGGGAAAACCATCACGAGGGCTGCGGCTGCCTCCCCACGTGTCCCCCTGGCTGCGGGACTCCTGCCCAGGCCTAAGAGAGGTGCGGCAGTGCCAGCCCCTCCGAGAAAACAGAGCTGGAGCCACTCCTGCCACGTCCCTCCATCACTGCGGGGATGTGGTACATGGGGCTCTACATCATCTCTGCAACTGGTCCAGTGCCTGACCTTGAAGGAGTGCTTCATCCTCCGTAGCATCCCAAGTCCCTGCTCCCCGCTCCTCCTTTCCCGGCCTTTGTCTGCCCAGTCCATTTAGACAGCAAATTGCGAGGCAGGGGCTGTCTGGCTGTACATCAGTGAGCATAATGGAGCTGTGTCCTTAGCACAGGCCCGCAGGCAGTAATGTAATATAAGTAATAATAGTAATAATAATAATAATGGACGATGGGCATTGGGCTGAGTACTGGTTAAGCGGCTGCAAAACCAGATGTAATACTATCCTGCAGAGCCGAGGGAGCATCTCCAAACATTCCTGAGAAGGAGACAAGGGATTTGGCTGGGAGGCAGCTTCCAGCTCATCCTGCTTCTCTTTCGGGTTCAGAAAGGGTCTTGCAGTTATCTCTGGTCTTTGGAACAGGCCAGGCGTTGCCTAAAGGCTCTGCAGGCTCACGCTGGACAACAAGTGCTCATCGAAGGAAGTGCTGCCTGAGCACACACCATGCATCCATCCTTCTGCCCCATGCTAAAATGGATGCCTTGTGGCTGTTAAATATCCCCTGGCATTTTCCCTGAGAAGAGGGACATTAAACTCCATGTCTTAGCCAAATGTCAGTCTACGTAATTTAATTCTGCCTCCCTAAGTAGTATGAATTGAACTGACCTTCTGTCTAGGCAACTGTATACCCGTGCTCAGAGACTGAATTTCTTGAAGGGGACAGCACGTTCATCCTCACACAGCCCCTCTGCAACACTCTGTGCGTTCACTGCATGCAGTGGGGACAATCGTATGACCTCCCCAGGGTCACACAAGGGATGTGTGGCAGATGTGGAATGACATCACTGCCTGTGCTGCCACTTTCTTCCTGTCCTGAGCATGTCCCAGCAGCATGGCATGGGGTGAGCTAAGAAGATCTGATAATAAACCTCTGGTTATTATCCACTCAACATTTTTTGGGTGAAATCCTCTGTGATCACACCTAACCAAGCCCCTCTGTTCTCCCTTGCTTGTCTGCCATCTCGCCAGTGCTGCCAATACATTTTATATTATATATTACATCTTCTCCTGCTAATCTGCCCCATGTTTGCATTAAAAGAAAGAAAGGTGTTGCCACTGAGGTGGGATGCTGGCACTGTGGAGCTGTTCTCACTCTGCAGTGGGATGCTCTTGGAGGTGGGGGATACATCCCAGAATGACATCAGTGTTCCCAGCCATCATGAAGGGGAAGGGTAGCTCCTAACACACTGCACCACTCCTGCCTGGCAATTTCCTCTGCCTCAAGCCCTCTCCTCTCTTCCTCCAGCCCTTCTCCCTCCTGGCTAGAGACTAGGGATGTGATGCCTGCAAGGTTTCGCACAGCCCTGCCCTCACCATGTTCACCTTTATTAATATTTATACCTTTGCAGAAAACATAATTATGAAAACAATTTCCAGCAGCAAGACAGGGCAGGAGGCAGCCCAGATGTCCTAGCAATGAAAGATGGGGGTCAGAGGGCTGGAAACCTTCTTCCAGTCATCACTAGGAATGGAAACACAGAGCAGCTCCTTGTAGCTGGCTGCTAACAGGCAGCATCGTGCGACTGCCAGCAAGGCATCAGCTCCAGATATCAAAAGAAAGCAGCACTCATTTTCCACTCAATTAGAGTCCATCTTCCAAGCGGCTGGGGAAGGGATTTGCTGCTGAGGACTCTGGTGGAAGAGGAAGGAAGCAAAACCAAAAGAGATCACCTCTTCCCAGGGGTCTTTTTGTGACTGGCCAGCGGGTGGTCCCAGCAGGCATAAAGTAAGGGCTTTACACCCCTGAACCCTCTGCAACAAGTCAGTGAAGTAGTTTTGTTTCAAGCCTGAGGTTTCTCTGCACTTCCATCTAGTAAGGCAGAATTCAAAGATGAACTCTCTGACTGGTGACATCTGCTGGGTGCCACCAACCATGCTGGGGCACAGGATCTATCCTGCACTGCTGCAGTTGCAGCTGCAGAGAGCAGACCTCCAGGAGGTGCAGACATGCAAGGCAAGCTAGGGCTCTCCTCCCACCAGAAGCCACTCAGGCAGAAATGCCAAGCAAAATACAGTAGTGCAGCACACTTGTTTTTATCAGAAACAACATCAGGAAGGCCCAAGGAGAAGCTCGATGTGGGATACATGGCTGTTGCTGAGTTCATCCTGGAACATCTCTGCTACGCCTGCTGACTGCCTGCTTGCTCACCTCTGCACTTCTTATACACTACAGCTGTAAAAAATCCTAAAGGGGAAAATTTCACAGCCATGCAGAACGTGGAGATTTTAAGGCCGTAACGTAGTGAAGCGCTGTGCTGTCCCATCACCCCTTCCTTAAGTGCCTTTGAGCATCTGCCATGGGGTACTGGGGGTCTCACACCCCCGCAACAGCTGGAACACATCTGGCCAAAGGCAGTGGTACTGCACCCATGCTAGCAGCTGGCCCTGCTCATTGCTGCTCTGACCCAGCTGAGTTCAGGCTCCTGGGCTGGATCTGGATTGTGCCGGTGCTGGGCTGGGTGTGCTTCCCGGGGGGACGCCCTTGTTTGCTGGAAGGGGGACCAGCAGATTCCTCCTGCAGAGGTGGTGCCGGCTGCTTTACTCAGGAGTGGCATCAGATGCTCTCCAAGCCAGGCAGGGCATGGGTGGGATGCAGATATTACAGGAGGATGCCCTGAACTCCTGGAGGAGGGAATGCAAGGAATTCAGAAAATGCAGCTTAATTGCTGCCCTGGGTCTGTTGTCCGGAGGTTACCTTCATTTAAGGAGTGTATCTTCCACAAAGACAACAATTTCCATCTAAAAACACCCAAGTGGCTAAAACTCCACCACTGCCCTTCTAAGCTCCTTGCTTTGTTATTAATGTTCACAGTGCACCAAAGAATAGGAACTTTGGATATGAATCACAGCAGTGAGGATACAAGAGGACAGCCCCAGTCCCTGCTCCAAAATAATTTCCCTCCTTTGTTCAGAACTGGCACCTTGTTTCTTGTTTGATGTTTTCCAGGACTTAGAGTAGAAAGCGAAAATCTGGGACAGCAGTGGAGCTCCTCTACCTGCACTCTGACAATTCTGGCTGCTCAGGACTGGCACACACAGCATGTCTGTAGCACTGACTGACTGCTGGCTGCATTTCAGGGATTCATTTATTTGATTCTTTGGTCCAGTAATTGCCTCATGTAAACAGCAAATTGCTTTTTGACTTGTTCCTGAATTCCTCTCTCTCATTTTTCCTGCTCTTTGAAAATGGACAATCTTGTCTCCTCACCAGCTGTCGTTTGCCTTTGTCAGGTGGCAAAAGCCCCGTGCTCAGCTCCCTGCTTTGCCACTTTCCCTCTGAACTGCTTGCTCCAGGATGCTCCACTATTGGAGGAGTTCCATCAGCAGAGCTGAGCCCACTCTGCCTCTATTGGTGCCAGTTGGAGGCTGAGCTGTAGCCTCGCAAAGGTCTGGGAGACGGGGCAGCACACATACAGGGCTATTATGGCACCATGGTTGCTCCTGCTGCCTTGCAGAGCTCTGCTGGATACTTATAGCCAGGGTGACGCAAAATGCTCAGAGGACCACAGCAGCCACAGAAGGTCAGTTTTGCTACCATGGGCTGTGCCTGTGCTATGCATGCACACGTAATTGGAATTTGTCTTCCAATGCTAATTCCTGCAAATTTGCTTCAAACATGAAGAAAAAACTTCTATTTTAGCAATATTCAGAGGTGTGGAAGGGCAGTGCCATGATTCCCCATCCCTCTGCCCTTGTAAGTGACAGCTGCTTCCCCAGCCCCTTGCTAAGAGAAGCTTAGCACCCCAAGAGACTGAGACCACAGAAGACAGGACCAGGCAAAGCATCAGAGACCACATGACGGCTGCCCATCTGCACCCTGCCCTGCTCCCCCAGGATGCCCAGGTGTCAGTATCCCCACATGGCAGCCCCTCCACCACACACACTTCAGCAGGAGCACACATCCCACAGCAAAACCCAAATGCCACAATCCTTTAGCTGGTAATGGCAGGGCCCAGAGGACAGTGGGACTCTAGAGAGATGCCAGCATGGCTCATATCCCGGCTCTATCCAATGCATGAGCAGACAGAGACTTGGGGAGCCCGATGCTTCCCTCGCCCATTGCTGTAGTGGGAGATGCAGTGCACAGATCAAACCAAACGCAGCTGCTGCTGCAGAAGTTACCTATGGCGAACTCGTCAAAGGTGAGAGTGGTGGAGTTTTTGCCCAGAGCATTCGTGACGGTCAGAGTCACCTTGTACTTCACTGTTGAGAAGAGCTGGAGGTATCTGATGTGACATCTGTTTTTGGGGAAGATGTCCTTCTCGCAGACCATCTCCCTCGTGCCATGTCTGGAAGTAGGAAGAGAAGAGCGATTAGCTACAGACCAGCCCTCAGGGTGGGGATGCACCAACACAGCTGGAAAGGAGCAGTGTGGTGTACCCACTCTGCCCAAGGTCCCCAAATGCCAGATCCCCTTCTGCCATCCTCATGGGAGAGGATTTTGCATGAGGATCTGTTATTATGGATGGAAGCCTGCAGAGAGACTGGGGTGAAGGTGTTTGTGCTGGCCTTCAGAAATTGCTGCTGCTCTTCCCCTGTTCAACTGCAAGGATGAGACCCTGCTGGGGCTAGGGTTGGTTCTGCCTCTCCTGCGGGAGGATCAGGATGTATCTTCTTTCTGCTCAGGAAACAAGTCCCAAAAGCAAAGGCATGGTATTAGAAAGGTAGTTCCAGGACTCCTGCACAGGGTGGTGGGTGATGCCATGCCATGGCCAAAACTGGCCACAGTTTTCAGGAGGCAAAATGGCTCTGCCAAAATTGCTGAAAAACAGAAGGTACAACCTCCACCACAGAGATGTGGTATGGACAGGATGGACTTCAGGGCACGGAAAGGGGACCTAGGAGTTGCCCTCAAAGCCTTAAGGCCCCCAGATCCACACCTAGACCCATAGGTCTCTCTCTAGAGCTTAAGAACTCTAGTTAATGTCCTATAGGTATTGGAGCTTCTAGGCTTCAAGGCTTCTGTCCTTGCCTGTCCCTAGGCCTGAAGGGTTTTATGCCTTATATTCAACCCTCTAGGCCTTTAGGATTCCAGGTCTCATAGGCCTCTACGTTGGCAGTCACCTCTGGGATCTTCCTTGGGACAAAGCCCCCATGCCAAGCATGGATGTCTCCGGAGCATCCCTCCTAGGGCCCATCTTTCAGGCACTGACAGCATGTACTCAGCTCAGCTGACCCAGAGCACTACTTGTAACCTGCTGTGTGCTGTGGGGAACAAAGTGATCTCCCTCCAAGGCACTTACATAACAGAGATGTTGAAGGAGTTGGGGATGTAGGTGGGGCTGGGCAGGTGCCAGCTGCAGTAGAAACCCTTTGGGTAGTTGTTGGACCGACACATCAGCACTGGCTCTTTCGGGGGGACTGCCAAGGAAAAAAAAAGAGGAATTATTCATCCAGGTGGGCTTTATCACCAGCTCCCATACACGGAGAGGTCTCTCCCCTTCAAGCACACACCCAGGTCCATCTGAGTGCTTGCCTCCTCCCCCAGCAGGTCACCAGCTCTGATGAGATAAAGGGTGGCAGAGAAGGTTGGCAGGTACTGGGGAAATTATCTTCGAGATCGCTACACAGAGATGTTTCTGATGGGGAGGATGTGCTGCTCTCTTGACCCCATTAAGCTGCAGCGCTCACGGCTTTCTCCGTCATGTCCCCAGGGAGTGCTAAACTTCTTGTTGAGGGATGATCCTCAGGAAGACCTGAGGTCCTTAAAGGGATGGAGAAGGATCACTTATGACAAGATGCAGAGAAGCAGCCTAAAACCAGCAGGGAAAATCCAGCCCTGCAGGAACAGCTGTACTATTGCTCTCAGCAGCGAGGCAGAGCATCCTGTCCCCGAGTGTTCATGCTGCACTCGGCTTCCCCAAACATACAAGCGAAGATCACAGCATGCAGGAGTGCAGCAGAGCGGCAGGAAACCTCTGTGAAACACTCATGTGGGAGGAAGAACTGTGATACCTTTCTGCTGATAAATTTTGTTCTTGCAGGTCAGTAACACCCTAAAATCAGTGAAGTTAACTCCTTTCAGTACCTGCACTCTCTCATTGCTAACAGCAGCACCACGGCATGGCACATTGGAATGAGATGAACTCCCTTGGCTGGATGGGGGAAACTGAGGGCTTGTGCACGCCCTATCGCCCTGGGGCAGGATGGAGCAAGGAGGCAGCACAGAACTGGCAGCATAGGCAGGTGTGAGATGCGGAGGGGTGGGCAGGCTGCTCTGATAGGAGATGTGTGTTCCCCCTAATGGCTATTTCAGCCTTCAGACGGACGAAGGCCAGAGCCTCATAGTGAGCCTCCCAGGTAAATTATTTAAGCAGATCCTCCATAGCTAATCGCAAGACCAGAAACAAGGGCCTTCTCCTCACTACATCTCTGTTCTCCTTCTCCTCCTATGGCCGTCCTTAACCCCTTCCCTGCCCCACAGATACCCTAAGGGTGAGCCTGCAACAAGCTGAGGACAGCATCACCCGTTGCAGGGGCCGACAGGAAGGCTCTGAGGGCCCTTGGGAGATGTTTCTGAGGGGCCAAGTGGTGCAGGGGACTTCGGGACAGGCTCTGGTGTCCCAGCGACCGCGCGGTGGCAGTGTGGGCTCACAGCACCCGCCTGGCACGGTGGCTGGAATGGGGATGGGAATGGGGCTGGGAGTATGGCAATGGGAGTGCTGGGAGGATGCCATGGGGCTCTCCTACTGCATTCAGCGCCGCAAGCTCCTGTAGGACAGCGGGAGCCAGTCCAGGCTCTGGATACAGGACAATGCCAATGCCCTGCACGGTACCTTGCCTTACCTGCAATTAGCCCTGCTGATAATTTATCTTTGCAATTAGACTGGATTCAGCTCTCAGCAATCTCAGAGTTGGCCTTGTGTCCCTGCCTTGCTTTGCCAGAGACACAGGACTGCTCGCTGCTGCCCATTCCTATTCTGCTCTGCAGCAGTCTGCAAACGGGCTGCACCTCAAAGGGCAACATGGGCACCACACTGGGGTCAGGGGCAGGGACTCAGCCCCTAGTTTCTGTGCTTGTGGCAGCCTCAGTCATTCAGCTGCAGTGCCTTTAGGCATGAGAGGTGGAAGAGGAGACCGAAAAGGGAGATGGAACTGCCCGAGTCTCTGCTTTCATCATGCCTACTCTCAGTCAGTGCAAAGCCAGGCTGACGTGACACCTGGAGACGTGGCTGTGGCACCTCACAGCCCACTGTGGCCATGTCTTCAGGTGCCACTAGGGAGGGAGTAACAAGCCCTTTGTGAGACGTGATGGTGCACCAAGAGAGGGTCATGGCCACCTTTCCTGAGCTGGTGGCAAGTCCCATCACTCTACAGCAGATGGTGGCCTGCAACCCTGTTCCTCTCCCAGCCTTGGCAAGAAAATCCTTGTCAGCACAGCTCATCCTACCCATCAAAGGATCTTACAGACAGCAAATAAAATAGCAGGCTCCAATCGATCCTGCACTCCATAATGCTGTCTTTGGAGGTGGGCCAGGCTGACGGCTGATAGAGAGAGCAAGAAAGGCAGCGAAGGAAAACTGAGCCATCAGAGAGCATTAAAGGCTTTTTCTGTCCTGAGGATCTCAGAAGGCTTTGGGCAGTGTGTCCGGGTGCACAGAGCCCAGTTCCACCCTTCCTTTCCCCGTCCCACCAGGCTGATGTCCAGCCCTGAGCCCCTGCGGCCCCCAGCCCAGTGGTGCCTCACATAGCCCCTAGAACCCAGGCTCAGGGCTCAGCCTCTTGCAGCACGGGCACTTCTTAGAGGCACATGGGAGTGACTGCCCGCAGCCTCCCTAATCCTGACAAATATTTACTTCCCTGTCGCCTTGTGGAGCTGCTGAGCTCCATCAAGGCGCAGCTCCTTTCCTCTCGCTGCAAACACTGCTTGCCCTCGCTAATCTGTCTATTAACCTCTTGCATGGCAGGAAGCCACCTCTCCCACGTGCTCTGCTGACGTCCACTCTGCATGCCCGGGGTGGCTAATGCCTGGGCCATGGCTCCTTCCCAACCCCATTACCCCCATCACCCCCTCCGCACAGCTGCTGCAAAAAGCTTCAGGGGGTGAGCAGTCTCATGCCACTCACAGGAATGCATTCACTTGTGCAATTTCCTTGCAAAATGCACAACTCCGTCAGGTAGTAAAATCTGTTCAACCATCATTGCCTTGCTGCAAACCCTGCAGAAGACCCACGTAAGGGATGGGGCTGCCCTCCTCATCCTGCACTGTATCCCCTTGACCAATTCCCTTCTGGCTCATTAGGAATCACTGCTGCCTGAGCAGCGCTAGCGCTCTGCCTGGCTGGGGACACCACAACGGCCCCTGAGGATGAAAGTATCCCTTCTTAGGATACTTTAAGGAAGCCCAGAACAGGGTTCTGTCTCTCCTGCCACCTCTAAAGCCCAGATGCCTTTGTACCCTGAGTCCCACTGAGTAGGGAAAAAAGTGTAACCGATCCATTTTAGAAACCACTAAAAATGATCTACAATAGCTTTTCCTAGCCCTGCTAGGTCATGAGATAATGGACATTAAAATTGTGGCATTTTTATATATAGAAAAGTTATTTTAGGTCATTTTTAGAGGTTTCTGAAATGGATCAGTTGTAATTTTCCTCTCCTGCTGAGGGCTGAACGTACTAAAGATGCCTTGTTCCACAGGTGGAGGGATACAAAAAAATAGTACCCATAAAACTTTTAAGAGGTCTCTAAAACACTTCTGTAGGAGGTATTTCTTCTCTTTCACTTGGGGCACATTCAGACCCCGGGCTGCAGGGGATACCGATGTTACAGCGCGCTCGCGGGATGACCTGCATAACTCATCATCCCCAGTTCATGCCAGCAAAACCTCCAGGGCCCATGACAGCATCGTGTGCTCACGCCAGATCTCTGGCTGTTACACAGCCCGCCGGCATGCAGGCGTGCTGCCCATGCAGGGGGCAGCTCCAGCACAGTGCTCTCTCCTGTGCCCTGCTTCTGCAAAGCCCCCTCTAACCAATGATGGCTTTTGCAAGACCACCTCCACCTTGTAGCAGCACTTGGATCATTTGCAAGCAAGTGTGCATAAGTAAAAATGCACCCAAGTGGCCAAAAGCAAATCGGAGGGCACAGCAAGGATCCAACCAGGTTGGAGACACTAGCCTGGAGCAGAGACATCAGCACAGCATGCAGGAGCAGCAGACCAGCATACACATCTGGCCATGCCCATCTGTTGCACACAAACTGGCAGCAAACACTATGCATTATTTATCTAATGCCACTTTTCCAAAATTGCCTGTGTAAAACAGGCTGGTAGGAAATAACAAAGAAAATAGCAATGAATAAATTATATTTCCGCTGCCCGGCTGAGCAGGGGAGCATCCATCAGCTGCACACCTGTGTGCTCCCAGTAGCACAGCTGTCACGGGACGGTCCATTCTGCTGCCACAAAGGTTGGGATGTGTCCACGTCCCATTGCTCAAGCAAGGGAAGTAGCTGATGCTTTGATTTTGCTTCTCTTTGCTCTGTTATGCCTGGGCTGTGTTGTTCCTGTGACAGGGTTTCACCCCACTCCCAGATGCACGACCTCTTTCCAAGTCACTTTAAGCCACCCCCAGCCTTAGCAAGGGATATTTCCAGGAAACATCCTCCCACTTGGAAATATGCACCAAAATGAGATCCCTCTGGTACCTGAGACATCACAAGACGCACCAGAGATGCCCATGTCCAGCTCCAAACCCTCCTGCGACAACATCAATGCACACAGAAAAACGCCCAGTTTTTCTTCCCTGGGACATCCCCAAATGGGCCAGGGAGACAGTGGCCCTGCCTGTTCCTGCTGCAGGGACCTGAGGCTGCGACTGAAGTCCCCAAGACCTGCTGCCACCTGGAGCTACCTCCCCAGCCTCAAGGAGAGAGAATTTATTCCCTAGAAGGTACCGAATAAAAGGGTGGACTCAGCAAAAGATAAATTTCTTAAAGGCCCTGTTTTACACTGATTAGGGCTCATAAACCAAGCTATGGATTTTCTCATTTCCCTTGCAGAAAATTCACACCGAGAGGCAGCGCTGTAAATTTGGGGAAGAGGCACACAGCATTACTCACCCATAACAGAGTTCACAGCTCTGCTTTAAGCGCAAAGCACAGTGCAAGCTCCGAGCCCTAAAAGCCACCTCTCAGCAGGCTGGAGGGATGAGTGAGAGCCTGCAAGTCCTGCAGGTGACCCTGTTTGGGATACAGGTGCCACTGGGACCGCTGTGCTGGGAGGGTCTGGGGGGTCCCTGGGACCCTGATGTTCCTGGGGCCACGGCAGCAGAGAACTGTTTTGCCACCAGCCTGCACTCTGTCAGAAAGCACGGAGCAGCTTTGCTCTGCAACAGTATTAAATATTGAACAAAGGCAAGCGA